TTTTCTCTTGTTGATGAAGTCTGATGCCTTTGTTTGATGCACTGCGCTTTGTTTGATGATGCACCGATGCCTGTTTGATGCACTGCCCGAATTGTTTTTCGTTTTACATGTCGAGGTTTCAATAAATAATTCAGCTAGTATGCGAAATCAAGTCAAGAGCCTGCTATGATAACACAACCGTTGCATCGGTATTTGACTTTCGACCTTTTTTTAGCTGTCATCTCCGCCATCCGATGTGCGTGCTGCACTGTATGTGCTAGCTTGTCATATTAACAAAGCGCAAAAAGTTCTTTCTGTTTATTAGAAGCGTCACGAAATGGAACTCGGAACAAAGTTTCTGGGGAAAAATCTCCTTTGACTAGTAAAGAATTACGTAAAGTAAAGTCGCGAATCACAGAAGCCAGAAAGTGCTTCCTGTGCCGAAGATACATCAGCTGCGATTGCGGTCGAAAGTTTTCTTCAGGCAAACGCCGCGAGCTGCTCCACCGGGACACTACTCAATGCCACGCTCAGCCTTTAAATACCAAACATCGTCGTGTTGAACATTACAGTACCATCCGGAAATTTCTGTATGTTATGTGTTTTCAGCGGCTGTGGCTGGCATTGGTTGCTGCTCACTTAGCAGTTGCAATCCACATATGAACAAACTCTCTTTCAATAATAAAGGCACTTCAAACTTTATAAGGAAACTTCAGGAATACCGTATTATTACAATAATTGTCTAAAAAAAAACAGCGAACATCAAACTTGTTTCTACAAATTACGCCTGATAAATCAGACATCAAGCTCAGACAATGCAGTGTTGACTAATCATTATTTTCATTATACACGTAGAAATACATCCCTTTGCCAGGTTTGTATCCTTGAACCGCTTGTTTTCTTGCAAAGACTCATCGCTGATCGTAACATCCTCCACGCGGATGACATCTTTTGGCACTGCGATGCCTTCCCGGCCACTTTTACGCCACGTAAACACCAATTTCGATTGACGCATCCCAGTAATGACGGCTGACCTGCCAGGCGCTCACCGTAGACAGAATTTCACCGTCACCTCTAAACGTTTTTGGAATTACGCGCTTAACGAACACTTCATCACCTACTTGAAAATCGGTTGATATCAGGCCATTTTGATTTTCACGACATTCAGTGGAAATGGCAGTGACGGTTTCACTGCGGCATTCTGGTACAAGATTGAAGCTAGGACTGGTCAGCAGGCCACTGCCAGGAGAAGAACACAAGTATGTACTGCTTTGCGCTGCACGTAGATTACTGTACAAGGCGTCGGGAGAAATTAAATATAATTGAACCTAACCTTGGCCGGACCGTCAGCCAGCTCCGCAGCACTCAGCAAAGGAAACCGAACCAGGTACAGGTATCTCCCAGCATTTGGCGACGATGGACAGCGGACGGCTTCAAGTCGTTGCGACGGCAGGCTTCGGTAGCCCATCTACAACCATGCTTAATGATAAAAACTCAGACCAAGCACATCTTCCACTGAACTCCTTCAAGTATCGGCACAAGTGCCCCCGCCGCACAACAAAACCATGTAATTGATACGCTATCAAAGTTGGGAGTTTCAAGGGTAAGAGATATCCATGTACATACTGATATACTACCGTTCAACAGCCAAGTAAATGGCATGTTCCACAACAGATAGCGTATTACGCTGCAGAATAACCTGCAGTGTACCCTGACTGATCGCCGTGAACTCTTTCGACTTGAGAACCGCGCTGCTTTCCTTATCCACCAAACTGAAGCATTTCTCCGCGACAGCGTCCGCATGCCAGTGGAGTGCCTGCAACTTCCTGGTTGTCATGCAAGTCGCTCATCTTTTCTCTATCTACTGTTATGTTACAGGAATTTACAGGTACGAACCTGTTCCAAGACTGGCAAACAGTTGGCGACGCTCAGCTGGCTATGAATCATCTCCAGACAAACCCGGACCAACGGCGCAAAATCATGCTTATCAGCGCAGTTCATCGTGAGGATGACGTTGTCGGTGTTCAGGTTCTCCGCTTTATCCGTGTACATGAAGCTGGAAAGCGCACGTACAACAGCAATACAACACCAAATAGTCCGAAATAATTGCTAGCTACTAAGTACCTGAGCAAGTTAGCAAACGCGTCGGGAATGAAATCCGGAATCTCGATGGGAGCTTATGCTGAGCATGCTTCCATAGAACATGGTACGAAACACGGAGCTGCGCATACTCAGAAAATTCCTACAAACACCAAAAACATAAATAAAATTTTGAAAATCTCAAGGAAGCGATGGATGAGTGGAGAATTACTTGTGAGCATTAAAGATCGTCACTGGGCCAGTTGTCTAACGGCAAACTGGACATCGCTGAAATCGCCGCTGGTCAATGCCTGTTGCATACAACTGACGACGCTGCCGTCCGTCCGTCCACCCTCTTGGGGAATGGCTGATGAAGTCGGATTTGTGGAGGCCATTCCGGTGCAGACGGGGAAGACAACAATTGGTTGGCTTGGTTGGTTGGTCTCCGTCCGAATTGGCGACGGCGTTGCAGTTGGGATGAGGTTAGCCTACAAATCGCAGCCTCAAAAGCACACAGAATTCTGGTCAGGACTCAGAAGACAACAATTAATTTGAACGGGAATTTGGGAGAAGTTCGAAAATCAATAAGGGGACGATGGATTAATAGTAAAATGTGGCACATGTAAAATCTGGAACTTTAGCATCTATTCAAAATTAGAAATTAGCAAAACTCCAAGCTTTGGCGTTCCAAGCGTCACAGCTGCGCTGGAAATCACTACTGTATAGCACCGTCTCTGATTGGCTGATAGACGTAAGTTGATACCGCTTGTACGTACAGTACTTGAACGTCCTGGCTTTCAGACATGCAGATTCTGTTGTTCCCTGCACCACATTCTTCGCAGATTCTTTCTTTCGAAATCTTTCAAGAATCTAATGGGCTTTTTTTCCGGTAGCTTCCATTGCGGGAAGGCCAGCTCTTCCCACAAACAAATACAACCGGCCGTGATACGCAACCGTTGCACTGCCATGCAGTAGAGTCGGCATCTTGGCTTTCGCGATTAACTGGCGATGTTCTTCGTCGAAAGCATACGCCTCCCGGTCGGCTCCCAGTACGAAGATACGATCGTCAATTCGGGCCATTCAGGCGTCCCGAGCAGGAAATTTAACCACATTCGTCCACTGATCCACGCCGGCATAGTACCTGTACAGACGGCAAGGGTCTTGACCAACCGCATCCGCCAACACCTAGACTTGCGAATGACCTTCTTTCGCCATATACAGCATAGGCCCACCCCAAAAGCTCGTCGGAACGGCGCCCGGCACCTCCAGGTGCTGGATGTCAGAGGATAAGGGCAGTACAGGTCGGACGCATTCATGTTTTCCGCTGTTTTGTTGACGTGTTGTAGCCCCACATAAAAAACGATCCCAGATTCCTCAGTTCACAGCAAAATAATACATTTAACTCTTCGTGCAACACTGTAACAAGGGATTTCAAGCTTTCCCAATTAATTATAGTTAGAGACGCTTAACAGCACATCGTTTTCCTGTCGGACCAACTGAAAACCAATGGAATCCTTGAGCAAATGCAGAGTGTTTGCATTCCACCAGATCGGAACAGGGGTCGCTTTCGTCTGCAGAGGACCGTTCAAGGAAATGTAAGAAAAATATAATACGCGTGAAATTGACCTTCAAATTTATTTCTGCTGGTCTGACGTTTTGACTTCTACCGCGCAACAACGGCTTTTGTCCAGACTTCCCGAGACTCAGCAGTCGGCAGAGTCCTGAATGTATCCCAGCCACTGAATCTACTCGTAGTTATGGCATGCACCCAGCACCGTTACTAACGGTAAGAGTTGCGGAGTTGTCGTGTGGAATCGGCTACAGAAAAGACCGCTCGCCGAAGGGGTTGACCAACGGAGTGTCGGGCAGGAGGCCAGGTAGTCGACCGTCAACAAGGGCAACCAATCTATATCTCCAACTAAAAATTTCAAGGGAGTTTAAATTTTGAGAAAACGAGTGTAGACTGTGTAGCAACCAGCTAACAGCGAAACAATTTTAAATCTTTAAATTTGTTCCTACAAATGTGGCCTCCGGAATCCGGATGGGAGGTTCAGCAGCCGATACCGGCCACCCCCGGGTGGTGCTTACTTGAACAATTGGATCTACGTCGTTCTACGAGAATATGAGTTACGAACTCTCTTCAAAGGTTTCTCACTTCGACCGTCACTCGGTGGTGTTTTGGTTTTTCTATAATTTACTTTGTGGAACGATAGCTTTGTATTTTACTCTGTGTTCTCCATAATTTCTCAGGTTAGAGTGATCCGTAACCTGCTGATTATAATAAGCAGTCATGTCCATGAAAGCAACATCATCGACGGTTCCTGAAAACGGAGTGCCAGATCCGAACACTGGCCAAATTGCGGATTTCGTGAAGCAGGCATTTCTCACAGGAAAACTGAGTGATGTTAGCTTCGCAGTGGGACGTGACTTTGGCACAGTGAAGAACTTTCCCGCACACAAGTAAGTTGAAAGCAGATTCGAATCACTTGGGCAATGTTTCGAACCTTCGAACGATTTTGCTTATTTGCCATCTTCCTGCATTTCATCATTTTCGTCAGGACTTTTTAAGCGTGAAGGCTGATTGTAGGTTCGTCTTGTGCCTTCGCAGCGCTGTGTTCCATACGATGTTCTATGGGAGCCTGCCAGAAAAATGTGAAGGTGCCATCAACATTGCAAACATTCATCCAGATGCATTTGCCAATATGCTTAGGTACTTATATCGTTAAAATCCTTTATTTTTCAGTGGGACCAGGTTGTTTGATGAAAACGCAAATAAAAACAAACGGGAAAACTAAACATTTTGCCATGTTTGTGGAAAAGTTCTTCCTCTTAGCGCAGAGAAGGTGCGCGAAAATAGTTTATCATTACTGATTGCATTCTATATACCGGTATTTAGTGTCTGAAGTTTTCCATTTAATGCCGTTCCGTTGATCAAATTTTGAAAAAACTTTTCATAACTGATTTGATTAACTAAAAAATCATTCTGTTCAGAAGTTTTTTCCGTATAATTTCAAACCTATCCCAGGAACTGTCATGGAGGCTTTCCATTGGGGCCTTTTCGAGTTTTCTTTGTTTGCTATATAAATGCTCCGTTGCGCCAAATTTAAATGTTCACGTTGCAGTTTCCTGTATACCGATGCCGTGGACAATCTCAGTGCCGACAACGTGTTCGAGACCATGGTGTGCGCTGACAAATACGACGTTCCGCAGCTGGTGCAGACCTGTTCGGATTTTTTGATCGCCAGCTGAATTCCGGGAATTGTTTGACTATTTTGAAAGAGGTGCATGCTTCTCTAGCAGAGACTGCATAATACAATTAATGACCACAATTTCACAAATAGCTTCTTCACAGGCCAAATACTGGCATGTTGACAGCATTGTGGAGAAGTGTCTGGTTCTGTGGACCTGAACAGTGCTGCGATTCTGCAGTCGACAGAATTCACCGACACCTCACAGGATACACTGCAGAACATTCTGAAGCGTGATACCCTATCGGCCGAGGAAAACGAGATCTATTTGGCTGTGGAAAGGTATAGGGCGGTGTAGAAACAAAAATTGCGTCCGTAAATTGCCGTAAATCTCGTATCTGGTATATATAAAGTATTCCAGCCATGAGTCAAGAAACAGACGTTTACAAAATACGGTAAATCTGTTATTCGGCATGAAGTTTGTTGTTGCAGGTGGGCAGAGGCGGCCTGCGCTCGCAACGCCTTGGATGCATCTGGCGCTAATCGGCGCCAGAAGTTAGATGTTGGGTGACGCTTTGTTCCTTGTGCGCTTTCCGCTCTTGACTGACACGCAATTGGCTGACGGTCCCGGCAAGGTACGGTCGAACCTGAATCTGCGATTTCTTGGCCTGTTTGACAGTTTTCGTGCATCCTGGTTATAGAGCGGTCTGCTGAGCGAAGGGGAGCTGCTAAGCGTGCTCTTGTACCAGAATGCTACAGTGAAGCCGCAAAATCTGCCTTTTCCACAGCGTGCCGGACGGGAGTGTGCATAGGATTCACCAAGGGAGACGAAGTATTTTGGAATCCTCAAGGTATACAGGATCCTGGTGGGGCCAGCGACCATATGCGCGGTCGAGCGGGAACGTGTTTCGTTTACTTGGTGTCGCAGCGGAATGGGCGGAGTTGCCACGCCAGACAAGATGATTCTCGTGAAAGACATCCTGAAAAAAGGCCAATCGATTTATTCGTTTTCGAACGGGTACGTACAGTACCAACATGCATCGATGGATGGGCAGCATCACGTCAGTGCGAATGGATTGCAGACTGTTAAATTAGCGGATTTAATACTGCCCGGAGCTGATGCGGCGTTATGTAAGGCGCGCAATGGAAAATAAACTTAGAAGTTGCGAGTAATCTGCCTTCGTATTGTCCTATCTTTAAGGCACGTTTTTTATTTCTCTCGGTTTTTTTTATTTCACTTGGGACAGCTTCTAGTTCTTTTATTTGGCGCGAGCATGTCTGTTTTTTTCAGCCTTGCTGGGAATGTTATTGTTTTCCGTCTTGAAATAATGGCTTTGTGGTTCAACTGTCCATTAGTTTCGTATTTGATAATAATGGAATAAAGTTCAGTGCAATCGCGGTGTAAGGTTATCACTGAAAGTAACCATGGTAGTCGCTTACGTTAGCAGCAGTAGTTCCTAGTTCTTACTGTATGCGCCATTCCAATTGTGCTATTATTATTACTTTATGCATATGGGTAGCTTTTGGTCAGTTTTGAGCAAAATGGGATATTAATCGGCAAGGCTTGCGAGTTGCCTCGCGGCGTTATCGTTATATTTATCGACCAGTGTGCAGCGGAGGTGTTCCAACTTATTCTAGCCTAAACGCAAACCACGGACTATAGGATCGTCAAAATGAATGATAAAAGCAAAAAGAATGTCGATACGGTGATCTGGTAGACGATGATTAGCCTCCGGCGCCGGCAATGGACAGCTTCAGGTTCTTCCAGGCGATGTGCCGCTGCACCACAGCACAGCACTGAAACTGCGGCGAAAACGCCGGTTCATACCGTGACCAGCAACTCGATTCTTTGTTCTGAGCACTGGCGCAACATGCCCGCTCAAACAGCCACAGCGTAAATTTTATATTCCAGCAGTACTCGCTGTCACTGGCAGGTCTGTTAGTTGTAAGCGCATCCTAGATGTCCAGCTACGTAGTTCTAGGGATGAATTATCAGGGAGCAGCTGCCTAACTCGAGTGTTAACGAATGGCGTTAGTTTTAAGTGTTGTTAGTTCACCTATTGTTATGTTAAGAGTTTTCACTCAAAAGCACTCGACTAGTTCTTGATATAAGTTCGTCTGTGCTTTTGAGAACTGCTTTGTGCTGTAGATAATATATGTACCAAGAGACAGTTCTGTTGAGGTTCCTTTTTGGGTTCGTTGTTAAGTTGACAATGTGAGCAGTCTTGAAAGTTGTGTGCCCTTGATGTCTAATAGGATAGATCTATTGATTAGCGAAGGCCAGTCTTGGTTTAAACCTTTAAGGATTCAAGGTTATAAAATGCCAACCATTAGGTTGTTTTCGCTGTCTTAAATTTCTGACAAGATTTTTCCTTTTAGTCTTACGCGACCATAAACCGTCAACAACTTTACGCTTGCTGACATCGCCGGTGTACGATATCTGCAAAGCGTTTGATGAAATCACGTTTTCACAAACAAATGGACTTACATTTAAAGCAACACAGATAAATTGCCACCGACGCTCCGAATGCCATTTTTATGTCCGGATTTTCTATAAATCAACACGGCCTGCAAGAGAAACAGTTAAAAAACAAACATATCAGTCCAGATTATGCTTCGTCGCTCGCTCGATAATTCCGCCGCCTATGGGTGATGCCTAAACAATGGAAATCGCCTCCATTGGGATGACACACGTTACCAGTCTGGCAGCCGCTATCTACTGCGGATTATGCACAAAAAATAACTGGCGTCTAAAAGATGTGACTGTGCGTATAGTTGACAACCGGATCGGGACCTAACAGTGTCAGTATTCCGGACATAGGTCACATAGATGCAGGTTCCGGGTCAGATAGGTATATTGTAGGTTTTAGGTCAGACTGCTCAGCGTCCGCTGAAGTTCTGTCCGTTGTGCATGGTAAGTAACACTACTGCCCATGGGGTTAATGAATCAGTTCCCCCACGATTTGATCGGTTTGCTGTTTGGTTACGTTAGGAGCAGGAAACATTTGCAATAATTGCAAGTATGCATTTAACGTTTCAGTAAGGATCTCATTTTTCTTAATCCCTGTGTGAATTCCATAGAACACAGTAAATGACTTTTCTCATTTCTGTATGTAAGACGTACGTCCATCTAATTGTGATTTTCGAATCTTTTCGTCACTTTTCATTAATAAGCCGGTCGTTGAAATATCCAGCCATGTCTACGAAACCAGCTACACCAGAGAGCCAACAGTGTGTCCCTGATCGAACATGTGGCTTCATGAAACTGTGGAAGCAAACTTTCGCCAGTGGAGAACTCAGCGATGTGCGCTTCGCAGTGGGACATGATTTTGGGAATATGCAAAGTTTCCCCGCCCACAAGTAAGACAGCCCCTTAGTAGAGAAGCTAAGACGTAGTCGGCCGTTCGCAGTTGTTAATTATGTGTCGTCGTGATATTGTTGATGTTGTATTATTTTTAGACTAGTCTTGAGCCTGCAGCACCGTGTTCCGCGCGATGTTCTACGGGAGGCTGCCAAAAAAATGTAGAGATGCCATCATCGAAATTCCCGATATTCATCCAGACGCATTTGCCAATATGCTCAGGTGCGCTGGTCTCCATGGTTTTTTTTACCTACTCGTATTATACCGGGCGCTACCTTTTGACCTGCTTTTTGGCGTTCTATACGTAAGTTTTGTTCCTGAATCCGAAACATTTTAACATCATATCATCTGTATTACTGTGACCTATTTTCACCACCTTGCAGGTTCATATACACGGACGCGGTTGATCAACTCACCACTGACAACGCTTTTGCGACCATGGGTTGTGCTATCAAATACGATCTGTCGCAGATGGCGGTGATTTGCTCTAACTTCATCACGAGCCATTTAAACGCTGACAACTGTGTGGCCACTTTAAAACAGGCACGACTGTCGTTTTATAAAGCATCCCCGTAGGCACTGTGCAGAATAGCGAAAACGGGTTCTGTTGGTAGGCTTACGGTAGGCCTGCCAGCATCGTGGAGCAATGTATGGCTATCGTGGATGCGAAAACTACTTTCATCCTGCAGTCGAATGAATTCCGGAGATCTCTGGATGCGCTGACAAAGATTTTGCAGCGCGATACGCTGTCGGCGGAGGAGCACGTTATTTATTTGGCTGTTGAAAGGTAACCTAAGCGTTGACAGAATGTGAGACCTTCTAGGCGCCTAGGCGGCTGAATCTTCGCCTTTTGTATAATTAGTTCTCGTTGTCAAGCGTTTATTATTGTAATATTGCGTCTACGAAATGGTATCGGTTACATAAAACAGCCTGGCTGAATTCAAAATTTCGGAAAGTGTCAGAGATTTCGAAACTAAACCTCGGAAATACAGGTTCGTAACATGCAAAGTATTAAAGCGATGCTCTTAAAGCATCTCAACTAAATTGCTTATACAGCGCTTCCAAAGAGCAAACGACTGTTCAGGTTGGAAAAGGGTGCGAGGTCACGACGCAGCTATGATTACGATTAGCAGAATCGAGAAACACCAGTTAACTGTGCGGCCAGATCGCAGGCCGCACGACGTCCCGTAAGAACGGAAGAAAAAACAAAACTAAAATCAGGTTTAGAAATAGAATGAGCAGCTTCCGATAATGTGTCTAGTCAAGCTACGCGCATGGTCAGCTGGTCAGAACTGGTAGCCACACATGGTAAACCGCTTAGACAACATTCATCGCTTTAGTATTGTTGTAGGTGGGCAACGGCCGCTTGCATTCGTAACGGCCTGAATGACTCCGGCGCTAACCGTCGTCAGATGTTGGGCGCCGCGTTATTCCATGTGCGATTTCCGCTGCTGACAAATACCGAACTGGCTGAAGGTCCCAGTAAGGTACATGGGCGTTAACGCGGTAGAAGTGTAATTTTGTCTGTCCTGTGATGGCTCAATTTTATAGAGCGGCCTGCTGACTGTACCGGAGTTGTTGAACTTGTTCGTTTACCACAATGCCAAAGTAAAGCCGGTGCTTCCGTTCCCCGCGCAGCGTCGAAAAGGACAGCATGGGTTACGTGCGGGAGCCCAGGTGTTTGTGCTGGTGCCTGGCTCCGGGTTTTGGAAGCCAGCCCGAATAATCAAGGCCCACGAACAGGAAGCGGTTTCTAGTTGGTGTAAAGGCGGCTCGGATTCTGTCGCTCAGATAGACACAGTGATTCTGGCGGAGGATATCTTGCAGAAGGACCAGTTGGTGTTAATCACCTCGTTGGGAAACTTTGGATATTACGACACTACTTTGGAAGGTGGACTTCATCGGGTTAGCTTGAACGGAGGTCGGAATGTTGAATTTGCTGATCTCAAGCTTCACGATTTACATCTGGAGGCATGGAAAACAAAACATGCAAAGTGTAAAGGCTTAGAATGATCTGGCGTGTATTTCTAAAGGTCACATAGTTGTTGTTTACGTTTTGGTTATGCCTATGATTGTGGCTTACCTGGGAACTGGTCACTGCATTGACCATGGCAAAGTATCAGTCGCGTGTTTGGCGAGCTTCAGAATCTTATTACATTCTATTAATACGACTATTGCGTGCTGTAACAATAGTGTACAAGCACTACCCCCACGCAGGTGAACTGAGTCGGTGGCTAAATATTTCTTGGTGTGCCATGATACATACAGCCTTCAAGCAACTGACTATCAGTTCATAGTTTTGTTTATTAAATAATAAATTAAATTACATAAATTCATACACCGAAGGTAGGTCAACAGTACGACTGCGCACATTGCCATTTTAGGGCTATAAAGACAATCAAAATCTTTCGTCGGTAACAAGTTTGCTCTTTCCTGACAAAGTGCCCAAAACGGTTGCGGCATTTCCCTTCATAATAGACTATCAGATTGCGTTGATTTATAACCAATGTATGTACAATACATAATGCAATTATCGTTCACCGCAATCACCGGGAAAATACGAAGAAATGCTAAACCACTTATGGCACAAACTTAAAATCGAACCAAAAAGTTAGGATCCGAAGCGCATTCTGGAATTTGAAACATTCACGTAGCTGCCACTGGTTGAACAATGGAGGCAGTTTCCGCTGGTAAAAAACAACCGCCGAAGGGTCGTTTCATGAAACAAAAATTTACAGACCCACTGTGCCAGTTTCAATCAGCTTTTTAATCAGGTATTTCATAGTGATGTTTGTCATCTGAAAAACTGGAATTTGCGCTGAACAAGTTTGGTTATTATCTGGGAAGGTGGGAACTGCGCTCGTTTTTTAATAGCGCTCTGTGCTGGAAATTTTGTTGGACATGATTGATTGGCTGGATTAATTAAAACGGTAAGTCACACATCAGACATGGCTTCATATTTGCGGTAGCCCTGACAGCTCGTTGCAGGTAGTTCAATCAGATTAACCAGTTTTTTTCTAAATCACCTCAAGAACCGCGGACTTCATAAGGCAGCATCGGGAATATGGCGGGAATCGCGCCATGTACTTCAGGATCTACCGCAAGCGGCTGCGATTGTCCGACAATTTGACTCTGCCGAAACTCGACGGAACCGAGTTTTTGCTGGGACTGCAAGATGCGCGTCACGATTTTTGCGATGTATGGGTTCGAGGTACGGTGGATCCAGAGAAGCCGGCAGAGGCAATCCCCTGTCATCGCAACGTGCTGATGGCACGCAGTGGTTGGTTCCGACGCATGCTGCGCTCCCAGTCGAAGGAGTGCCAACAGAACACTATCCAGCTGCATAATGTTCCCCACGACATCCTGCAACAGTGAGTGGAGATGCTGGCATTTCAATAGCCATATACCGCATTGAATGTTGCGTTGCAGGTTGATTGACTATATGTATTCCTGCGAGGTCTCCGTTAGCAGCAGCAGTAACGCGCTCCTGCTTCTGCAGGCTGCGGATCTGCTGGAGATGGGGCAGATTGCGGACATCTGCCAGCTCTTTCTCCGGAAGAATTTAAACCTAGCCAACTGGTTGAGTCTCTACCGTGAAGCGCAGCAGATGTCAAGTACGACCTTGAACGAAGCGTGTCAGGCCTTCGCACTAGAGCATTTCGTCAGCATCGCCCAGTCGCAGGATTTCCTGGAGCTGGATGTCGCTGAGGTGTGTTCTGTGGTTTTACCGTACATGGGATCACGCTGCAAATATTGCTTCCTGTTCGTTAACATTACAGTTGAAGCAGTTGATTGCCTCTGATGAGCTCAATGCGGAGAAGGAGCAGCAAGTGGCAGACGCTGTTGTGCGCTGGTTTGGCATTCCCTGCCACAGCGAGCGCGCTGCGCCGTGGATCTGGTCCGGCGTATCCGTACGCCCTTGTTGGCTGCTGAATACCTGGCTTCGCTGTCGGACACTCCTGCCGGTCAACATGTTCAGCAAGCGGTCTTTTCTGTGGCTGACGCCCCAAGCCGAGTGCGCAGCTCTTATCGTAAGTAACAGTGCGTGGAGTAACAACGTTTCATGTACTGGGATACATTCAGTATATAGCGAATGCAGAGAGTTAAGATAATTCGAACTAAAACGCTCGGTTTCTGAATTTTTAAAACTGCTAACAGGTGGGGATGGGGGTACTTTACAGGAGAGGAGGCTTGTACAATATAATTGCCCTATCGTATAGCTTCCTCGTTACTAAAATCTTCCGGGCTTCTAATAGGTACTAGTAAAAGTGGCCCTACTTTAATAGCCCTAAATCAGCGGACAGCAAGCATGGACAGTTTTATACATCATTCATTCAGCAACGCTTCATTAATTTAAAATGGTCGCTGTGCAGCATAAAGTGCCATAAGCGTCTCCATCTACCCTGCGGAAGATGCCCGAAAACGCAGTTTACTTGATTAATGTACCCTACTCGATGTACGAGTACTATTCTGCGACTAACAGAAAATTCTTTGGTTTCACGCTCGTTACGTCAATGACCACGTTTGGTTTTAACTGATTCCCAAGTTGTTCCATAAAAGAAGAGAGGTCATGTATGTTTACAGGTTTTTTACTGTGTTGCGAAGAAGAACGAAACTTAATCTGTACTTCGCTTTTTTCATATTCCGGTCACTTTAACTATACAGTTCCGTATTCCGGTCACCAGGTAGCAAAATATCCTAACAAAACAAAATTCTCTCCGAAATGGTTAGCTTTCATAAAACGACCTCTCTCATTAAATCTGAAGCGTAAATATGGCAAAATAAAAAAAAAGTTGTGGGATCAGCAGCTATTCATGTAGTGCTAAACATGTGCGGTCGTACCAGTGACCGGTGACCGGAAGATGAAACCATTCACTCAAAGTGACCGGAATATGAAAAATAGCGAAGTACGCGTTGTGAATTGCAGAGCATGTGATCGTTTTTCTGAGGGGCTACGACACGCAGAAAAAAATGGCGGAGCACAAGAACGCTGCCGAGTTGTACTGTCTTGATCCGCTGACGCCCAGCATTTGAGCGTGCCATGCGCAGTTCCACCCGGCAGTTGGGGCGGTCCTATGCTGTATATGGTGAAAGACGGTCGGTTGCGAATCTACGTGTTGGTCGATGCGATTGGTCAAGAGGATCCTTGCCGTCTGTACATGTACGATGCCAGCGTCAATCATTGGACGAACGTCAGTAAATTTCCTGTCCGAGATGCCTGTCTGGCCGCAATCGACGATCGTATCTACGTAATGGGAGGCGACCGGGCGATGTATGCTTTCGACGAAGAACACCGCCGGTTGATCGCGAAAGAGAAGGTGCCGATACTGCTGCATGGCAGTGCAACGGTAGCTTATGATGGCCGGTTGTACGTGGTTGGGGGGATGTGCTGGCCTTCGCGCAACGCAAGTCACCGTGCAGCAACGGCGGCGTATTGCTACGACCCAGCTCGCAACGTCTGGGAGAAGCTGGCGCCGATGCCGACGGGGCGCTTTGGTTGTCGGGCATGTGTTGGCCCAGACGGGCTCATCTATGTTGTTGGTGAGTTGACCTTGGAATCTTGCATCACATCAGAAGGGAGGTACCGTAATTATGGTTATTGCTTCTTAGGTGGTTGTAACATTAACCATGACAATGTCAGCTGTGTGGAGGCATACAACGTCCAGACAAATCAATGGCATTCCAAGCGTAAGTGAATGTGCTGTGTTCACTATTACTTCTTAGAAAACGCACTTTTAAATCAGGGTCCATGCGCGCTGTGATTTGTCGAAGCTAAATTTGCTGTGGGTACTAATTTACTAGTACTTCTTCTCTAGAGATAAGCCTTTGAATACTATTACTTACTTAGAAACGCAATTTTCATCAGGGTCTATGCATGTTCGAAGATGGGGCACTGGGCTTGTGCGACTGGAAGACAAGCTGTACGCTGTGGCTGGTTGGAGTGGAATTTCGGACGGTCCTAAGAGAACCGAGTGCTACGACACCGAAACGGATAGCTGGTCGCGATGTGAGCCGTCATTTCCTTGGCAGTGTAGCATGGATTGTGCTGTGATACAGCGGCACATCGCCTGGAAGAACATGCAACGGCCCAGTGCCGACTTCGATGGCTTATGACCACTCATTGTTTTCTTAACCCACTGCATCGGCATTCCACCTTTGTTTCGTCATCACATTATGAAGTTTCTGGTTTTCTATGGTGCACGAGATTTGAATTGCTGCTTTAGAGTTCATTTTTTCCGCAACGTAGTTATTTTTGTACTAAATTGATTGATGCACTACGCATTAGTATCGTTACTTGCATTGAAGTATGATTCGCTCGCTCATGTTACTGGCCACGCGAAAAATATCAGGCGCGAAAAATATTTCGATAAACTACAAGGACACCCGTAACCGGTCATGCAGTTCCTTTAAAATACCCCAAGTATTACCGATGCCGTGTTACCCATACCAGCTATACATACCTATATGGATTCAGTGCTACCGGATAGAATTCCTCTGGTGTGAGCATTACGAAATTAAATACAGAGTTCATACAACGTACGTGACATTCGTGTCAACCCGCTTTCACGTAATACGCCAGCAACGAGCACGACGATGCAGTATATTAAGAGCCTTGAGATTAAAACCCTATGCGATTGACCTTTCGCTTCATGATCCAGTTACACAGTTCTATAGCCCTGCGCACCTTGCAGTTGTGAACTGAATTTCGCCATATTTTAAGTGCCAAAGTGCATGTTAGGTGCTAAGTGCCAAATTTTCCAACCGGTTTATCCGCCAGTCGCCCCGCGAAGCACTAATTATTCTACGTATTGACGTATAAAAGTATATAATTCTGTATGCCATAAAATATTGTTGTATGCTGTGATTTTGCTGGGTTTTCGGTAGTAAGTAAGTACGCACAGCGTGTACAGCGTACGATTCTGTTGCTAAAAAAACCCTTACAATGTTTTGAAAATTGAGATCATCGGCCAAAACAACCAAATAAAGAAACTGATTCGTCCAGCTACAGCATCCGATTTAGTGAACCAAAGTGGGTGATGGAAAATTCTGATAAAAGCAATACGTATCTGTATCGCGCCAAATGGGACAGGTCTGCACTTAAGTAATGCTGATCCTCAGCCGGATATCCAAACCGAGCTGCACATGATGTTAATCTGGAGTAATGTGGGAGCAGTGTCAGGAATGCGAAGACATCCTTATATCTTCACTGCCTTGGCTGCCGACCACAGGCGTGAAACATCTCACTCAAGATTATGTAACGAAATAAACGGCGTGCGTATATCTCCGGCTACCTCAGATTATCGATTTATAAGCATGAATGTTGTTTGCTGCAGCCTTGCAGGTGAGACGTAGCGGCCTGCATTCGTGACCGAGTGCCGCAAAAATATGACAAAACTAAGAAATTATTAGGAACAACTATATACTTCCAGTGTTCACTGGAAAACTGCTTGTGCAAAACTAGACATCTTTACTTCCTTCACGAAACTTGTGCACTGAATACGCGGCACTCAATAAATAGCCCATCATGTCCATAAATGGAGCATCCTCGAAGGGACCAACTGACCAAGAGTTTGGTTGTGGCTTGAAGGATCAGTGGAAGCAAGCACTGGATAGTGGAGACCGCGATGTGCGCTTCGTCGTAGGACGTGACTTTGGTCATGTGCAGAACTTTCCCGCACACAAGTAAAACATCCCTCCATATTAGAAAATTCTTGCACTATCTACGGACTACGAGTAGTATTATTACTCTTGTACTACCATTTTTGTTAATGATGTGCCGTGTTGTTCTTATCGCTGTCCTCTGTACTCTTTTAAGCTCGTCGTGAGTGTCTGTAAGGCCGCCTGTGAATATATTACGTTTTCATTTTTCACGTACGCGTAGCTTTTTTGTTCTGCGCAAACACGTTTTGTAGTTATACATTGTACATTAATAAATATTATAGATTATAGTACATGGACTGCAATCGAGGATGCAGTTTCCTGCATCGAACTGTGGACACAGTAACTAGTGAATGAACATAACGCGATTGTAAGGGCGGGACGCCCGCCCTCCTGAGTAGCTATTCGCTGTTTCTGGGATTTCCACCGCACATTGCTGCTGTTTTGACGGACCTGCAGCACAGTTGCACAGGCTGCAGGATCCTTCCTCATTAGTCTGGTGTTGCTGCGCCACGGTGCGCATTAGATTCGGCAATAAAGCCTCATCCGGGTTCACCGCTGTTCGCTGTCGAGGATACGCGTGGCGCCCATACGGCCCCGCGTTATACGATCAAAGGACAGGTTGACGCAACTGTTACGCACGGACACAATTATTTGAACGAATGCCAAGAAAATTAATTTTAGCACCATCCCGATGTGGAAATGTCCTATCGGAAATGTGTTACAATGGCAGCACTTTACTGGCACCATTTAGATAGCTCTTATTTTAAAGCCGCCTGCCAGGTAATACAACCTTAACCAATAATTGTGTAATTATGCAGTGAATAAATTACTGAAAACAAGATTACGGATTTCCACCATAGCGTATAACGCGATCGGCAGTCCTGACCCGAGTAAATAAAGCGGAATTGCAGTTGCTCAGATTCTGCGTAAACAGTGTTAAAAAATGCGGTAGAAGCGTAAGAATTAAAAAAACAATGTCGGAGAATTTACATTACTAGATGCAGAGAAATGGATGCTGTTGTAGCAAGCGGGCTGCGTTAACTGAAATGCTTAACGTTGGCTTGCCCATGACCGTACTATTCGGTGGCCATAAGGCCCACAATGACCGAACACAAACACCGAAGGGCGAACACGATCCAATTCCCAGCCAAAACAGCGCAAATCGGCATCACAGCGGTTAGGTAAAACTGTAGCGGAGAATAGACCGAATCAAGCCAACACCCGCAACAACAATCGTTTTGGTAATAACCGTTTGTCCGTTTGTGTTTACGCTAGACTTTCTAGACTCACGATTTCACCTAGCCGTAACCGTAAACAAAACGGTCGACTACTAGGTTTATCCCAACAATTGTTAAAGATAAAGGTACAATCCACCACATGATTCCTGAGAAAAGTTGGAAATGTTTAATTGGCACCGGTGGACGGTTAGCTATAAACGCTCTGGCTAGGAGATAGCCTTCCGCAGCCAACCAGGCAAAGGAGACCAGGAAGAACCAGTGCAGGAAAACACTGATGGCTATGCAGAGCTGTCGCAGTTCCATACGATCGATTCCACATAAGAAAGTTAGGTAGGTTAGCAGGAGTGCTAAAGACAGATTAGCCAGCACACAATCTTTGTCGGCTGAATCATTTTTGAACAGAACCCTTCGCTCGCGTTTAAACATTCTGTAATTGAACATTTGTGCCACAGTAATGCTCAAGTAATCCGACTCGGACAAAAAGACAAGGAATATGCTCACCCAAAAACAGTTGTACGACGAGGACGATAGCCACAGTAGTTATGGAGAGTCCTAATGCAGTTTAGGTGAACATTGTTAAAATTTTATGCGTAGCTTCAGAAACTTTCAAGAGTCCGCCGGCATAAACTAAAATGCCGGGTCGGCAAAGACTACCTTTGCCACCCCATTCCCTTTGCCCTTTCACTTTGCCTTTTCAACTCCACCTACCTTTGCCTTTGCCGCCGCCATTACTACCGTTCTAATTTACCGTTCCAAAAGCCGTCTAAATAACCTTTACCGTTGGTTTAGCCGTTACATGACAGACTGCATTCAAGTTTACCATTTCCGGAATTTCTACGTCCTTTTGCAGTTCGCTTCGCGACGGCTTTCGTCGTGTTGCATCTAGGTACGTTGTAATTCTGTTTCTGTAGTTTGATGTCATAAATTATTTTCGCTAAACGTTTGGAAGTCTAAGTTAACAGTTTACATTGCGGCTACGGGAATAATTGTAGTGAAAGGTAAAATATTGCTTTAACTGCGGGAGAACTTCTAATAATGTCTCTGTTAACACTGCAGTATTAATCAAGATTTACCGTATAATGTCATAATGTGCTAACCAAACTGATGCAGAAGTTGTTTACAATGTTGAAGTGCGATGCTGTGTTTTGAATAAAACTGCAAAAGGACGTAGAAATTCCGGAAATGGTAAACCGTTTGACGGCAGTTTGTCATGTAACGGCTAAAACCAACGGTAAAGGTTATTTGGGACGGTTTTTGGAACGGTAAGGTAATAACGGCGGCAAAAGCAAAGGTAAAGGTGAAGTTGAAAAAGGCAAAGTGAATAGGCAAAGGCAAAGGGGAGGCAAAGGTAATCTTGGCCGACCCAGAATGCCGAAGCTGGTCAGGTGGTCGCAGTAACATGTTCCGCAACTGTTTTGTCCGATGCTTGCTATGCAGTATGCAGCCTTTGGTGCTCCACCCTCCGAAACCATTATTGATCTGAAAGGATCTTTCAGGACCTGTAGTTTGGCAGTTCGGCACCACATTAATAATGGTTAGTGGATAAAGACTGTAAAGGAACTAAACAATACCATACGGAATGGCGGATATAATTTTAACTTTTTTTGATGTGGTTCGATCGCTTAACTTGCAGTCCTTATAGATACAAAGAATATCCTTTTTCAGTACATCAGAAAGATGCTCTGTACAGACTGTGGAACTGCGGCGTGATTACGCCAAACTGTTTCCATACTGGATACTATAATATATGTTGCATCACTGTTCACTGCAATGTGCACGTATGGCGCACTGCGAAGTTATGAACGGTTATCTTATCTCGACGCAATACTCCGGTTTGTCACCATCGGCGAAATTGACAACAAAATTTGTGGTCCATTTATAAGTTGATTTGCGGTCTGTTTTCCATTTTATCGTTCTATTTTCTATTCATATCTTTCGGTCTTTGCTGACAGATGCGGCGATTGCAGTTCTTCGAATAGCCAGCCATGTCCACGAATGCAGTTTCCTCATCCTCAAAGGGACTAGGTTGCCAAGAATCTGGGTGCGACTTCATGAAATTATTGAAGCAGACATATACAAGCGGCGAACAGCGATGTAATGCTTCACAGTGGGACGCGACTCTGGCAATGTTCCGGAACATTCCCGCGCACAAAGTAAGATACTTCCTGGAAATTGGAAAGCAGTTTACCTGAGTTCTTTCTTCAAGCGATGGTT